TTTTCAAACCCTTTCCGAAAGGTGAGGCGCGGAAAAAGGCGAGTCCACACAAACATGGCGATAACTTTGATATCATTATTAAACCAATTAATTAAATCAAAAAATCCAAAACTAAAAAAATTTCATATATTAAATGTATCGATTATACACTAAAATCCTAACAACCACTCATTACATGATCATAATCCAAACACATAACAAAAATTAATTTGGTTAAAAAAAATAATAAATGTCTAAAAGATTTATCAATTTTTCAGAATTTTATCTTTGGTGGATAGAAATAATTTTTAAAAATTAATTTCTTTTTTTTGACATTTTTTTTTTGTCAAATTAGTTTATATTTTATCAAATTGACGATTTGACCCTTGAAATTAAGTGATGGTATCTTCAATTGTCCTTATTTGGATCAAGATTCAAAATTTGAAGATCAAATGTATCACAATTGAAAAGTGAAGAACCAAAGAGACACAAGTCCCAAATTATATGGACTGTTAGTGCAGCTAGGTTTTTATTCTTGGCAATCCCGTTTGACAAAACTCCTTTTTGTTGTACTTATTTTCGCACTTTTATTTCAGTGAGACTATGAGTTTTTAGTTGTGAATGCAACCCAAATTGTGCCTTCTAGAGAAGTTTGTGGTGCTAATTGTTTCATGATTGCCACTTCATTGACTATGACGGGGATGCATTCGAAGTTGCTTGTCTGCTCGAGCGGAGAATCCTTAGTTTCAGAAGTTTGATCGCTTGCAAAAATATTGGGAGATGTTTTTTTCCGCTCGAATGGAACTTCCTGCGCTTGAGAGTCGGTCCGCTTGAGCGGCCATTCTTACGCTCGAGCTGAGATCGCCGAACAGATTGCTATAAATATGTGTTTCAGTCAGATTTTAGGGTTACGCTTCTAGATCTTCTTCTTGGCTATTAGGGTTTATATGTGGGGCTATTTTCCTAATTTACTTTGATGTTTGATTGAGTATTCAACTCATGGTTTAAGAAGTATACATGAAAGGATTGTTGGTTTATTTAATACAAAAGAGAGAGTTATTCTTCGGTGGATTCCGGGGAATTCGAGCCTGAAGTTTTGGTGGATTCTAGAGTGGCTCATCGTCGTGATTCGACATCGGCATTGTGGATTCAACGCTGGGCAAAGACAATTCCAAGGTGAAGACCGTGGTGGAAGAGGCATATAGGGGTTAGTTCAATTCGGGAGTAGATTCGCTAGGTAATTGAGAGTACACTTGTATAATTCCTTTTGTCTTCTTAGTGGATTGTTTTGTGGCTTTCACCTCGTGATTTTTTTTATCACAATTGGAGGTGCTCCAATTATGATTTTTCCACGTTAAAATTGTTGTGTCGTTTTGCCTTGATTGTTTGTTTGGGATTGATATTTACTACTTAAAATTGATACATAATCACAAATCAATATCTAGGGGATTTCTAGATTTTTCAATTGGCATCAAAGCCGGTCGCTCTTTTTTTAAAAAAGGAACTTTTGGAGCAAGATCTTGTTTGATTTGTGATAGTGGATTCAATTCATGAGGGAAATTCTGTGGTTCGACCACCCCTACTTGACGGATCCAATTATTCTTTTTCGAAAGCTTGAATGAGATCGTTTTTAAAATCTATTGATGAAAAAGTTTGGCAATCTGTCATATATGGGTGGACCGAACCGACGATTATCGTTGATGGAGTAACCTTCCCCAAACCAATTGATAAGTGGGACCCAATTGATTACCAAAATAACAGCGGGAATAGTAAAGCTATCAATTCTCTCTTTTGCGCCGTCACACCTGAAGAGTTTAGTCGAATTTGCAATTGTGAAGTCGCAAAAGAGGCTTGGGATATCTTACAAACTATTCATGAGGGCACTCCTTCTGTTAAACGCTCAAAACTTCAAAGGCTCACGTCTAATTTCGAAAACCTTTCAATGAAAGATAGTGAGACCTTTGATGAATTTTATGCGAAATTGAGTGACATTGTAAATTCCAACTTCAATTTAGGTGAAAAAATACCAAAATCCAAGATTGTAGGAAAAATTTTGAGGTCCTTGCCCAATCGGTTCCAACCAAAAGTTTCGGCTATTGAGGAGGCTCAAGATGTTGACAACCTCAAGCTAGATCATTTGGTTGGAAATCTCCAAACTTATGAGGCACATAGGAATTTCAAAACGAAATAAAAAGATGCTATTGCTTTTAGTAGTGCTCATAGAGTTGGAGTGGATTCTGATGAGGATTATGAGATAGATTCCAAGATTACGGATGCCTTTGTAAAACAATTTAAAAAATCTTTTCTGAAGAAGAATCCTAGTCTTTTGAAATCTACTCATACTCATAAATCTAAAGGCAAAGATAAACTAAAAATTAATTCTGTAGCCAAGAAGGAGAAATGAAAGATACAAGGGAACTCTGAAAGTGTCTAATGCTATGAATGCCAAGGATTTGGCCACTTTGCTCAAGAATGCCCCACTCGTTTGAGGAAGCAGAAAGCCCTCGCTATCACTTGGGATGATGAATAAAAATCTGATGAAGATGAAAGTGACAATGAATATCAAGGCAAAGAGGGACATAATGTGATGACTGAGTGTATGATTTGCTCCTTATCCTTTTGTTTTCATTGTGTTTGAAGTGTCCGGAAGTTTTCTTCTCAAACAAATTCTTGTTTTCGTTTATTCAGTTTCAAATTTCACCTATTCCAGAGAGTGAGAGGTCAGGTTAAAAGTACCTAAAATGGAGCTGAGAAAATTCTGGGCAGCTAGACCAAGGCGTGCGAGGCCCTAGGCCGCACGTGCGAGAGATGAGGCCGCACATGCGGGGTAAGGCGAGCTGTGGAAGGTTGCACATTGCCTAAAAGGTAGGTGCGGAGTGAAGGGCGGGAAAAGACCACAGCACGTGTGGGGGAGGTGCTCTGCACGTACGGGAGAAGGCACCGCACATGCGGCATTTTAGGCAGTCTATGAGCTCTATTTTTTTTTTCTTTCTTTTGGGGCTGAATGTATCTCGTTTTTTTTACAACGCTCTCTCTCTAAAAACACTTTTGATCCTCCTTCTCTCTAAAATCCCTCACCAAACACAAAGAATGTTTGATTTCTTGCAATCCATTGGGTCTAGATTCATCATCTCTCACAAATCTTAGAGATCAAAGCTAGAACTTCACATTGTGTGGTGGAAATCGAAAATCTCTCATCTTTGGATCTAGGGTTTCATCTATTTTCTTCATCAAAACTTGAGGTAGGGATCTTTTATTAGGCTAAAATAATTAGAATTAACATAAATGATACGTGGGGGTGTACAAAGGACTAACAATCATTGTGAGGATGGACAGCTGCACCAGCCTTGAAACTGAATTGTGGGAGGTGTACAAAGGACTAACAATCATTGTGAGGATGGACAGCTGCACCAGCCTTGAAACTGAATTGTGGGAGGTGTACAAAGGACTAACAATCATTGTGAGGATGGACAGCTGCACCAGCCTTGAAACTGAATTGTGGGAGGTGTACAAAGGACTAACAATCATTCTCCAAAAAGGCTTCAACAACGTGATAGTGGAAACCGATGCTCAGGAAGTAGTCAAGCTGCTTGAAGAAGGCCTTGGAGAGAAACACCCTTACAAAGGTCTAATAGAAGATGCAAGGATCATATTCAATGGCTGCCAATGCACTGCTCAACTTGTCTATCGTGAAGGAAACTTATGCATGGATGCTCTAGCCAAATTGGGAGCTGCACAACTTGAAGACATCTTAGTTGTTAATGAGCCACCAGTTGAGATTCGTAAGCGGCTAGTGGCTGATATGTTGGGGATGGGTAGAGAGAGAGCTTAGTCCCATGTATTTTGTTTTGTTTCACCGTAAAAATATGACAATGACCTATTTTGGGAATTTGGTTAAAAGTCACTTAACCTGTTTCAAGTCACATCACCTCTCTATTTTTTTCCATATTTTTTTTTTCAAAAAAATCTATAAAAAAAATCAAGGGGTCAACTTTTAACCTATTTTCCAAAACAAGCCAATATCATGACATGAATTATAGCAAGTCTAATTAACCCAACACATGAATTTGAAGCAAGAGTGAAAATTGAATTGAAGCTAAATATATGTATTTATGTGTAGATAAATTATTGAGGAAATAACAAATCAGCAGATATTTGTAAAAATAATTTCAGATCAATGAAAAATTTTACAAATTTTAGCAATTAAAATTATAATTTTTTTCATGAAATAGTAATTATTTTAAAAAGATTCCATTGGTATGTAATGTCTCTTAAATTATCCAAAAGGCTCAAAATACGATGCAATATTATTTAGAATATTTCAAATTAATCACGTAGTGAAAAGTTTATCAATGTGACAACTCACTTTTGTTAGTGCACATTATAAATTTTCATTGACGAATAATACTACATAAATATAATGTCACAAATCCATTAACTTTTCATATAATTGTATGTGTATATATTTATTGAGTAATCCTAAACATAAATATAATTTTCACTAGAATTTTTTTAAATTAAGACAAAAAGATATGTCATTTGTGTATAATGGCCAATAAATAAAATTTAAAAACCGTTATATATGTCATTTTCAATATTTTTATTGTGTGTCCATTTTGCCCATTTTTTATGTTTCTTGACATGTTCATGGCCGTATATGGGAACCTTCCCAAACCGAATTCTCACGTATCTTAGTGGCACACCACCTTTCCATAATAGGTAAATTAAAAACAAATAAATAAAATAAATATGTTACGAATATAAAAATCAATTACAATATCAGAAACATAAAAAATACGTATAGATTTAGTTTTGAAGAATTTTGTTTGTTTATATATATTGTGTACAAATTTATTCATAAACATTTTTATTTTAAATGTGGAAAATTTGATATTTGGGTTAGTATTGATTAATTGCTATCCTCCAATTCCAGCCTGTTTGCCATAACAAACAGATCGAGATTATCATTGTGAAAAGTCAACCCCATGGATTAGTATATAAAGGGGATAGTACTCTCTCACTCTCATCATCCAAGACACAAACCAACATAAAGATCGAAATGGGAAGCCTAGGCAGTTTGAGGCAATGGCCTCAATTTGTCTATGCTTTGGTATTTTGCTTAGCAGCAACTAGTGTTGTTGCTAATACGCCTTATATTTATGCTTCACCACCTCCACCTCCTTATATTTACAAGTCTCCACCACCACCATCACCATCTCCACCACCACCACCTTACGTTTACAAATCGCCACCTCCCCCATCACCATCGCCACCACCTCCTTATATTTACAAATCTCCTCCTCCACCGTCTTCATCCCCGCCACCACCCTATATGTACAAATCACCACCTCCTCCATCACCATCACCGCCACCTCTGTATATTTACAAATCTCCACCTCCACCATCTCCATCGCCACCACCACCCTACTACTACAGGTCACCTCCACCGCCATCTCCATCTCCACCCCCACCTTATTACTATAAGTCACCACCTCCACCATCTCCATCACCCCCTCCACCATATTATTACAAATCACCACCACCACCACCTTCTTCGTCTCCTCCTCCACCTTATTACTTCAAGTCACCACCCCATCTCCACCACCACAAGTCACCACCACCACCATCGCCATCACCTCCACCACCCTATTATTATAAGTCACCACCCCCACCATCTCGATCACCACCACCACCATACTATTACAAATCGCCACCTCCACCATCTCCTTCTCCACCACCTCCTTACTACTACAAATCACCACCACCTCCAGTGAAGTCACCACCTCCTCCATACATCTACAAATCCCCACCTCCACCAGTGAAGTCACCACCACCACCCTACTATTACAAATCACCACCTCCTCCAGTTAAATCACCACCTCCACCTCCATACTACTACAAATCACCACCTCCTCCAGTTAAATCACCACCTCCAATGAAGTCACCACCTCCTCCATACATCTATAAATCCCCACCTCCACCAGTGAAGTTACCACCACCACCACCCTACTATTACAAATCACCACCTCCCCCAGTGAAATCACCACCTCCACCTCCATACTACTACAAATCACCACCTCCACCAGTTAAGTCACCACCACCACCCTACTACTACAAATCTCCTCCTCCACCATCTCCATCACCACCACCTCCGTACTACTACAACTCACCACCACCACCGCACCATTATTAAGTCAACCACTGCCACCTATGCCTCGACCCATACTATTTAAGGCCTGCAGATTAATTAATATTGCATCAGCTTGAATTTCAACAAGAATAAATAATTCCATTTTTTGAAGTTGTTTTTGAAGGCATTTGTGGCATTGTTTTTCAATTTTTAATTTAAACAAGTTTATTTGTGAATAAGAAGTCCCCACAGTGGAGATACTTCTTTGCGTAATTTTTTTGTTTTTGTTTTTGTTTTGTGCAAAGTTTTCTTTTCACTATCAGTTTATTGTAATAAGCAATGAAACGATGAATTTCAAATGCTAAGAGTAGCCTTATTGTGCTTATCTAAGTTGTACCTTCTGTTACCATGAGAATCCCTTAATTTCTCAATAACCCTTTGTTAGTCAGGCAAATTAATTAATGTTCCTTTCCAATCATTTGATATTTGAATAATACCTACATGATAAATGTATATGTATTATTTAATAGTATCGTAGCACTACATGGTATTACTTAAGTGATGTTTCATAGCAAAAAATTTTAAATTCACATTCAGAAAAAAAATTAAAAAAAAAATTAAAAAAAAATGAAAATAAAAAAGTTGACTTAAAGAAAGTTTGCCAAAGAAGAAAAATTAATAAAAAGCTACTAAAAATATAATCGTGTGTTGTAATTTTTTATTTGCTAAAAGTGCTAAGTAAACTATATCACCTAATATTCCAAAAATATTTAATAATTTTCCTTGGATGAGTGAGCTGCCGTGTTTTTTTGCCCAAATGCATGACCTGAAGAACTTCAAAATGCCAAGCTGTAAAACTCTTGCACTCTTTTCTAAAAAAAGTAAATTATTTAGATGATTCAGTTGGTTTAATTTTTAAGTTTTTATTTATAATTTTTTTATTAAAAATAAAATATTGATTTGATAAAAATCATAATCATATGATTTTATCACATTTTCTTTTTTTAAAAAAAATCAATAATCTATTTTCAAAATCATACATGTTTATTTTTTAAAAATAAATTTGATAAAATCTTATAGTTTTGGCTGTCAAATTAGTCTCATATTTTTCTTAATTGAAAAATCTACACAAAAACAAATTAAACAAATTATTAAAATGTGCCTCATAATTTGGCACGGTCATTTTCTCCTGCTCCATTTATGTTGGTAAAAATTTAGTTCAAGCCTAATCGACAATGATTTGATCGACATACTCAAACCAATCTTTAAGTAAACACAAATAAAAATCAAACTTTGTGGTTGAGTTTTATGCCTTAAACAGATTAAGGACTTCCCTGAAGGTAATTAGGCAAAGAAAAGATAGAACAAAAAGGAATATGTGTTAATTCGAATGAATTGTCACTTGTCACTAGTTACAAGAACAAAAGATTGAAGAAATACAACAATCAACAAAAGAAAAGAAGATAAATGGGGGTTGGAAAAAACTACTAGTTTAATCTACTCCTAAAATGCTAATTTAGAACTACTCCTAAATAATTATGCACGTGTATTTGATGATTGATTCATTTTCTTTTTTCATTCTTCAAGTCCCCGTTTTATACTTTCTTAGCCACCTCATGTTATAGCAATCAATCCATGATCTTCCTTGATCTTTGCTCCACTCAACCATATCTCATATCTTCATAGGAACTACTTGCAGATTTTGTACTTTGACTTGATATTGATCCCCCAGATTTTAGCATATGGTTTCTAATTGATTTCAATAAATATCTTTATTAGCTTTATTTAATCTTTTCAAATCATATCATAATCTCTTTCAGGCCACATTACTATCATACTTATCATGCTATGACAACATACATGTCGACAAAAATAATAAAAACAAATATGGTCAAAGTTATTTTTTGAGAATAGTTTATAATTTCAATCAACAGACCATAATTGAATTTGGCCATAATTAATAGGCCACAACCAACAGAAAAATAAAATGTGGTGCAAACAGTTTCATACAGGTTTTCTCCGCCTGAGGAAGTGGAACGGAGACGGATTTTGTTTCTCCCACCTCATCATACTCAACCCCGCCCGGATTATATTTAATTTTTTTATTATAATAAAATTAAAATACTAAAATATTATACTTAATATTAATTTTAACTCATTTATTTTTGGATTAATTACCTAAAAGTCCTATCTATATTTTTGGTAGTAGCTTAGGTCCTGGCAAAATATTTTTAAACCAATATGTCCCATTTACAGGTAAAAAGACTATAGCGATTCCGGTTGTCCCTTTACTGTTCTGTTGTGTTCCGGACTCGGTTCCGTGAAGTTGGCAGTGGTGTCTATCTTGTTGCCGTCCTTTAATTCCATTTGATCAAGTTTTAGAATGTTTTGAGCAGGGTTGTTACAGGTTGGTTAGGCTTTGGTTTCAATTCCTTGTTGTCCAGTTTTTAGGTGATCCGCTCGAGCGGGTCTTCTTACGCTCGAGCGGGGATTGCACACCTCCAGTATTTCGTGTTCCTGCAAAACTTCTGCAGATGTGATTTCTATGCTCGAGCGGATTTCTTTACGCTGCGAGCGGTGGCGCTCGAGCGGGTTTGTTGGCGCTCGAGCGGGTAGTACTTTCTGGGTATAAGTTCTGGGAGGTGGGAATCTACGCTCGAGCGGACTGGGTTTCGTGCTCGAGCGGAAGTGCTTTATTCTTATGTCTTGGGGCTCGAGCGGGCCTTATTGCGCTCGAGCGTGTTCAGATTTTTGTTCTTGGCGGTCGAGCGTTGTGTTCTCCGCTCGAGCGGGTCATGTGTATATGAGTTATCCGCTGGGTGATTTTAAATCACTTTTTACTTTCCTTTCTCTCTCCTACTTTTTCTAAAAGCCATTTTGAGAGCTCCTCTCTCTAAAATCTTGCCTTCTCTCTAGATTTTGATCTAGCTAGGGTGATTTCCTCACCTTTGGCCTTTACAAAAAGGTTTTTGATCAACGAGGGCGTCGTTTTGATCCGAAAATCTTGGTCTTTGGAGCATTTTGGTTTTGGTCTCTTCTCCATCCGAGCTCTAACTTCGAGGTAGGGATATCCTACTCTTCTTTATGAGCTTTGTCTTTAAATTTTTGCATTTTGATATGTTGGGGGTTGTTGGGTAATTTTGAGAGAGTTTGGGCCTTTGTGTAATTTTTACAAAAGTTGGGGTTTTGGCTATATAAAAACCTAGATGCATGTTTGGCATGGAAAAGTGAAATTAATGTTAAAACATTAGTGAAAATGAAACCTAAGGGTTGTAATGTTAATTATGGAATATGCCCTAATTACATTGGTTAATTAATTTGTATAATTAATTATGAGAAATGACGAATTAATTTGGAAAGATATGGGATTAAAGGGTATAGTTGGATTATTTATCACTCACCTAGTTGAAATGTTGATTATATATCCATTGTTGCATTTATTTTCTGTATAGAAATAACTGCTTTGGACTATCAGTGGAAGATAGTCTTGATTGTTGTAGACAATGCATGATGATTAGGCAAACTGAGACTAAGCACTGGAATGTGTCATTGAGTATGACGGTTGAAAGAATACATTAAATTTATGTGTTGTGTGATTATGTGTATAATTATTGTTTATATGCATTGTGTGTGTTGGAGGAGATATGGGATGTACTCCACGGTTTAGGGGAAGATAGGGGATGGACCTCTAAACCGGATGTTGTTGGGAGGAGATAGGGGATGGACTCCATAGATAGAGCTCATATGCTTATCTAGTAATGTGTTGACAGAGCTCATATGCTTGTCATTGGAAGTGTGATAGTGCTCTTATGCATATCTGTGGAAGTGATGATATAGCTTGTATGCTTATCTGTTGGTGTGTGATATAGCTTGTATGCTTATCTATTGGTGTGTGATATAGCTAGTATGCTTATCTATTATGAAATGGGGAAGTGCTTAATATGAGTTACTGTCTCATATGAGTTGTTTGGCCAGGTTCTGAGCCATGGTTATAAATTGAGAATTGAAAAGAATTGGAAAATGGATTGTAATATGGACTTATATGTCATGAAACCGTAAAGTGTGATAAGGGAAAGTATCTGTGTTGGCCATCTATCAACTGCTAATCTTGTTGTCATTGTTCATATGTGGTTTAGTATATTTCTATTGGGCTGTGGCTCACCCTATATGGGAATATCATTTTCAAGTGCAGGTAGCATGCCACCTCCAAGGATGTAGCTTGGGAGGATAGAGGCAGGCGGTGTAACGCCCTCAAAATAATAACATTAAACTAACCACATTCCTTTATTTCATTGAGTTTCATTACATAAGTATTACATGTTAACATCAAAACAAAATGCCCTACGGGCTTACAGGGCATTTGCTTTTGTTGTTAACATGTAATACTTTTGGTAATGGAACTCTGATGAATAGAAGAAAGTGGAGCTTTTATATATCAATGCATGTCTCTATTGACGGGTTTAATGTTATTATTTTGAGAGCGTGACAACTTGGTATCAGAGCGTACCGGATTCGAATACTTTGGGTACGTGGGAAGTGATTAATATCACAATGGGTTTGTCGCGCTTGATAGAGACTTAGATGTAGTGTCATATACTATGTGCTTAATTGATAACATGCTTATGTGACTATGTGGGTATGGGATTTAGTTTCTAGGATGTTGATTGGATCCTTGGATTTCTGTGAGTCTTGTTGGAAAGGCACCTGATCAATGCTGTTTCTAACCGGAACTCTAGTAACGCCTCGGGACTATCACTATTCTGAAATGAAATTCGTAAGTGCTTATGTGTTTATGTGCTTACGTGGAGTGAATTACAGTTATCCATGCATTAGGACGTGAGTGTTTAGTTTTGGCACATTTGTGAATGTGCTAACGTTCGGTATTACCTTTATTAGGATGTCAGGGTGAGGAAGAGGTGCTAGGCGTGGCAGGCTTGCGAGGCAGGAAGTGCCCTTACCGGATGATATTCCGGCAGTGCAGGAGGGAGTTGGTCAGGCCAATGTGGCCGAGCCAGCGGGTCAGCAGGCTTTGAGTGCCTTGGCCCGAGAGATAGCAGGAGCTTTGGGTATTCTCAGAGCAGGGAATCAGACAACTGAGGCAGGGCCTTCCTTCTTGAAGAGGAAGTTCTTCCGGTCTAATCCGGACGACTTTGTTGGAGATCCGAATGAACCACTGAAGGCTGACGAGTGGTTAGAACAGATGAGTAAGACGTTCGAGATGCTTGGCATCGAGGATGGAGCATTGAAAGTGACCTTGGCATCTTTCCAGCTGAAGGGAGATGCGGGTCAATGGTGGAAGTACGAGAAGGCTCGTGTTGGGGGTACATGGGAGGCGTTTGTAAATGCTTTTCAGGAGAGGTTCTTATCTGCAGTTGGCTAGGAAGAAGCTGAGGGATCAGATTTAGGCCGCGTAATTCAGCAGGGTAATGTCCGT